ATATATATATATATATATATATATATATATATATATATATATATATATATATATATATATATATATATATATATTAGTTTATTATCCAGATATTACATATTTGTCCTAATTGCTGAGACTAATGCTTAATTTTCATCTATATGTCTGGTTGTTGCAGAGTAAATAGCTGATGTAAAATAGAGAAGATGCTAAATATTTAAATACAATGACACGCATTGTTCATGATGACGTTATACTGTAGATGACTACTACAAATAGTCAATATTGTTACAATTAATTATTTATGACCCCTTCTGGTTATTGGTGGCTATTTTCATATATTTTTCCTTTGGAATGCCTCACATGTATGCTGCGGTCTAAAATAGATCCATACCACAGAACATGGAAGGCCTGTATGAACCATATCAAACCTGGCATCTCTTATTTTACAAGATGTCCTTAACATACATGCATATAATTCTGTGTGTCTGTATTTATTGATTAAAAGAAAATAAATCAAGTCAGTTGTTCCAGTCATTTCATTATCTACTGCATACCAACTCCACGCCACGTTCCCTTCAGATTTATTTTTACAACATTGCCTAATATGTCTCATCAGAGTAAAGCTAAAGAAGCATTTTATTAAGATTATATTTGTTTTCTTTCTTTGCGTATTAAAATTGTTTTATACCAGGCTACCCATCTCCACACCAGCCTCCTTATCCCATGCCCCAGCCGGGCGGTCACTCCATGCCCCCCTATCCCATGGGAGGTTATGGAGAACCTGGACAGGCGGCACCACCTGCAGGGTTCCAAGTGGGATACCAGCCAGTTCCAGATCAGCCAGTCATGTATCAGCCTGGTCCAGTTAGTCCAGCATCTCACCATGGCCAGCCATATGGAGGTAAGCATGTCTAAATTTAGTCTTAATTGACAAAAAATGTTGGTAAGTAAATGGTGAACAATAGGTAAGTGGGCAAAGTGACCACACAGACCAAAGATGAAAGAAATATTCTAAAAGATTCATTCTAATAATCATTAATAGTATAAAAACAATGCAAAAGAAGTTTGAGTGTTGTTGCATAATGCATGCTGACTAATGATGGTGTGCCTCATGAACTTCCTCACAACCTTCTCTAGCACCTGTAGCTGCACCAGTCTCAGTGCCTGCTGGAGTACCACCTGGTCTGGAGTACCTCACTCAGGTTGGCCTTGTCATTTAGTACATTCAATGTCAGATAGTCAGAAAGTTCATATTTACAAGTTGAATGCACATGAACACTACTGCAAAGTCGTGATTGTGAGGGGAATCTTTGGATGGTAAATTTGCCTGTACTTTTTTTATTATTATTTTTTTTTTAATTCACAATAAAACTAGCTAAATTGCATTTACAAAATATGATGAGTGTACAAACATGATAAAAATAACATTTCAGTTTACAGCACCTTCATAAATTGAGTATAAACATTGCTGTGTGTTTTGTACAAATGTGATTAGAGAATCTCTGATTTTAACACACCTGACGTCGTAATGACGACTTCCCAAGTTGTTAATATGATCTTCCCAGGAAGAGTTGAACGCCCTAGTTCTCTCTGACATTTACTTTACTTATTAGTGTGCCTAGTATAAGTCTTGTTACTAGTGTACTCTTTTCATTTCAGATTGATCAGATCCTTATTCATCAGAAAGTGGAGTTGTTAGAGGGTGAGTCTTCTTCTGTATTATGTGAATGCGGTTGAAGCTGTTTACTATATCATTTGAGTGCATTAAAGCAAAGCTTGTCTGTTACATTTTGTGTGTTATCTTTATTTTAAGCCTGAGACAATTTTATTCACTATTACTTTTTTGCTACTTTTACTTTAATTCAGACACTCGAAGACATTAATAAACTCCAAGAAATTAGCCCCAATGTTGGAAAAATACATTTCTATCAATTTTCCAATCGATTGGGCCAGATTGTTTTTACCCACTGCAGAATAGGTCATTCCAGGATGACACAAGTTTTTAATGCTAGACGATCCTCTAACATGTTCTCTCTGCCAAAAGCCTTTATCCCTGAAGCATGTTTTATTAGATTGTGCTGGTTTTAACACTGAGAGAACTTTTTTTATTGTTAACTCTTTTGAAGAGATTTTTAACAAGTTAAGCCAAATACAGTTTTTAGCGAAAATAAATAGTAAAAACCTGATATAATTTAGCCATAATTTTTTCTTGCCATGAAAATAGCCACAGAAGCTGGCATGGCATTAAACACAAACAAACACTCAAAGACTCCTAGTTTAATTTCTCTGCATACTTTTTGGTCCTATACAGCAATAATTGGCTTTGAGACCAACAACCAGTATGAGATCAAGAATAGCCTCGGTCAAAAGATTTATTCTGCCAAAGAGAAAAATGACTGCTGCACACGCAACTGCTGTGGAGCCCTGCGCAGCTTTGACATGAAGATCAAAGACAACGCCGATCGAGAGGTCATACGACTGATCCGACCTTTCCGCTGTGTCTCCTGTTGGTGCCCCTGCTGCCTGCAAGAGGTATAATGGACAAGTCATATCAAAGCTTTGCATTTAATTATGTTAGTTACGTGAAGTCTTGTTGGTTTTCATTTAGTGACTCTTCTAAAGCTGTGGTTCTCAATTCCAGTCCTGGTGACCCACTACTCTGCACATTTTGTATGTCTCTCTTATCTAATGCACTCAGTTCAGTTCATGGATCTCTCCTAATGAGCTGATGATCTGAATCACCGATTCAGAATCAGGTGTGTTAAATAAGGGAGAAATGCAAAATGTGCAGAGCAGGGGGTCCCCACCCCAGGACTGGAATTGAGAACCAGTGATCTAAAGAACATGTCGTGTGACCTACTATTGACATTAATGTGTGTGAAGAGTTATAAATGGCATAGAGTCAGTATGGACGTAGGACTCTATGCCACTCTGTCTTTGCATTATGATGCATTCAATTGATCAAAAGAAACCATAAAAACATTTATAATGTAACAAATGACTTCTATTTTAAATAAATGCTGTTCTTTTGAACTTTCTATTCATAAAAGAATCCTGAAAAAAATGTATCATGGTTTCCAAAAAACATTAAGCAGCACAACTGTTTACACAACATTTAATAATAAAAGTTTCTTGAGCACCAAATCAGCATATTAGGATGATTTCTGAAGGATCGTGTGACACCGAAAACTGGAGTAATCGCTGCTAGAAATTCAGCTTACATCAGAGGAATAAATTACATTTGAATTTATTCCACTGAACAGTAATTTATTCCTTTTGAACATTTTCTATGTATGCACATATAGCTGCTAGCTTAAAAATCAATTTGGGCATTGCTGTGTATTTCTAATTCACTATGACAATAAATGCCTATATTTCGTCTTCAGATGGAGGTACAGGCCCCCCCAGGAACGACTGTAGGGTATGTGAAGCAGGACTGGCACCCCTGTTATCCGAAATTCTCCATCCAGGGGCCAAACAAGGAGACTGTGATGAAGCTCGAGGGGCCCTGCTTGGCATGTAACTGCTGTGGTGATGTGAACTTCGAGGTGACTTGTTAGAATTGGATTGAAAGTGATTGTTGTTGACATGTTGTTGCCTTGTTAATATACAAATTCGAAGGTAAACATTATAGTGACACCAAGCTAAATAATTTTGAAATTGGTAGGTTTCTAACCATAAATTTGTATTTCTTTCTTTAGCTCAAAGGCAAAGACGGTACTGGGAAGCCTATCGGTCAAATTAGTAAGCAGTGGAGCGGCCTGTTAAAGGAAGTCTTTACTGACACTGACAACTTTGGCATCCAGTTTCCAGTGGACATGGATGTGAAGATGAAGGCTGTACTTATGGGCGCTTGCTTCCTTATTGTGAGTATTAAGCTAATGACACGTTTAATGATCCACAATAGTCTTCTAACCATTATGCAACCACAACCTATAAATACATAAATTCTCTCTTGGATATAAATGTGTAGTCGGTAGAATGTCTGTTGGAGGATCATAAAAATAAAGTGTTATAGCACTTCAAATAAACCAGACATTAAGCAGACAGTCTGCTAATACTCTAATAACTGGTAGTAGAAATGTAGTTGCAAAGTTACTTATAGTTAGTAGAATGTCTAAAGTGAACTATCGGATTAAAATGTTATTAAATATTGTAATACAACAGAAATCGCATGCACTACAACATATTATTCCCCAAGATTCTGTTCTGACTCTTTGTTCTTTGTTCTCTTTTTCTTTTCATAGGATTTCATGTTCTTTGAAAAAGTTGGAGACACAAACCAGCGCAATACTGTATTCTCTTAGAGCTCCTGCTAAGTTACTTGTTAAGTGACATATTTTCAACTAACTCGCATCATCTTTCAAGTCTTTTTTTTAAACGGATGAAATTCTCACATTCTGTGGACACCCTCTGAGTCTGGACTTTCTTTATTTCCTGCATTTTCTTAGGTAACCAACGCCATATACAGCTGGCACTGCAGTGAAACCAAGGGACATGTTCAAGGTCATTTTATAGTGTTCATGTGACCAGCAATATTTACAATGGCAGGCAAGGTATCATGAGTAACTGTTCACTGGTGCCTTTTAAACAATCACAGCCTACAATAATTACAAATTACTTGTTACAATAGTACAAGCAACTAACATTTATATGTTTTTGTTACTTTGTAGAAATAAACTAACATGCAACGTTACACGTTTTTCTAGACTTATCTCATGCATAAAGTATATTTTTTCAGTCTTTTAGAAGGAAATTCAGTTTTATTGTGCTCAACGCAACGCATTTTAGTTAAAACAGTGGTTCTTAATTCCAATCCTCGAGTATCACCGCTCTACACATTTTGTATGTATCTCTTATCACTTCAGACGTTTGTTGTATTCGAGTGTAAGTGCCCTGCGAAGTGGACATCACCGGATATTCCGCCATGGTTCTAGTTCGAAGGGAGCGTATATTCCATTCAAAGGGCATTAAAGTGTGCAAGACGTAAATTTAAATTGTATTTATTTACAGAGGTATATTATGTCACACTTCTCTAGTAAGTTTCGGCTCTGTGTGAAGACGCTGCAGGCCGTGGTGTAGCGCAAATCCGTGAATGAACGTTCCGAAGTGAAGTAAACTTCGGATTTCCCCTGCTCGGGCAGTACGGACCAATGAAGACCGTGTAGGGACTATGTCAATCGGACCACAGTTCATGTATGGAGCGCTCTTTTTTTTACGAGCTGGTCTTAATCAGGAGTGTTAAATAAGAGAGACATGCAAAATATGCAGAGCGGTGGTACGCAAGGACTGGAATTGAGAACCACCGAGTTAAAACATACGGATGTTCGTGCAGCCAAGTAATGCACGATGGTGGGGGTTGCATGCAAGTTACTGACTGACAACAGGTGGGAAAAAAGGAAAAAACAAGCAAGTAGTTGCATGGTTTTCTGTGTGTATAGACCAGTGACATAATATGGGTTTAATGGCAATTTGTTACTTGTGTATATATCTTCTTTTTTTTTTTTTTTGGTCCGTGTGTGAAGAAAGTGTCCTACAGGGGGCGCTTTTCAGCTTATAAAAGCCAGCCTCTAATTTAGGCACTCTTTTAATTCTTAGGATGGTGTTAATTATTTAATATTTGCCAATTAAATCCATGAGTATCATGGAAATTCAGGAAACATTTTCAAAAAGTCCTATGGATAGACTTTAATATCCCTGTCCTCGTAAAAAAAAAGATAAGTCTGTTGGAACATACCACATGACAATTATTTTCTGGTTGGTTGGTTATATAGAGACTGTCCTAGTATCAATAAGAGAATATATATGTTACGTTATAAAAAATATACAGACCGAGGAGTGTTCAAACTTTTTTGTTTTATGTATGTTTTGGTCACTATGTATTTTAAACTTTTATATACATTTCCCGCATTTATACACCGCAAATTAAAGTTGCTCTCTATCACTAACAGGGTGAATTCTAACAATAATAGAAAAAAATAGAGATCAATTTAAATTGTGTACACATTCATTTTGTTAGTCAAATTCAATATCCCAGTTGCTAATTACTAAACTGACCGTGTTCTCGGATCGACCCACACTGTAAAAAAAATCCGTAAAATTTATGGTAAAAGCTGTGGTTGCCGGAATTTTACAGTAAAAAATATGGTAGCAACATTTTAGGTTTTATGGTTTTAACTTAAATTTACAGTTAAATACCGTAATTTCATTAACCAATATAATGTTAATATACCAACCTATTGAAGTACTGAAATCTGTTTTGTACCTTTGTAATACACTGATAACCATCAAATGCAGGTGGTGATGAGAAAGTCACATGATGAACCAAAGCCCATCACAAGCAGCTTTTAAATAATAACACATATAGAAGATGCACAGTGTCGTTTACACAGACACTAAACACCATCATGGTAACACACATGAAACTGAAATAATGCAATAAACATTCATTTAACAACATTAGGTGTAACACACAACCCTAATATACAAAACCTATAAGAAAAAGCTAAGAAGAAACAGTTATTTCAATAAAAAAACATCAAATTTGAAATGTAATGCAGGGAATTCTGGGAATGTCAATTTACGGTTATTCACTGTAAATTATATGAAAAATAATTATATTTTCACTTCCAAAAATGGTATACTACCGTAAAATTACATGTAATGTCCAATACAGTTTTTCACCGTATATAGTAGGGGAATTTACCGTTAACCATTTAACAGGTTTTTACTGTAGCATTTTTACAGTCTTTTACCGTTAAATTCACGGTCATTTTTTTACAGTGCATGCATAATCAATATATATACTTGCATATGTGTCTTCTTGTGTATGTGTTTGTTTATGCAATATTAGTATAACATTATACATAATAAATGTACAATATTATGTTGGTGGTTTGTGTGATTATTTTACTGCATCTATTGTTGCAAAACCCCTAATATGCAGCCAAATGAAGAACTTCAGATGTAGACTTAAGCTAAAATAACCATCATTTGCAATTTTACAGTGCCTAAAGAACAATAAGATCAATAATGTCTGTCACTCTTTTTAAGCAAAATAAGGAAAGGTGCATTAACTTAAAATGTACACTCAAATGGCTTGCCTTAATACGCACACATGCAGATTAGTATTTACAATAGACATTTCAACAACCCAGGTTTTTTTTCTGGTTAATTTGAACATAATTCACATTAAATCATGCTTGGAAATTTAACAATAGCTAACAGTGATGTCAACAAGATGCACTTGTTTCTGTTTCTCTACAACCGCTTTCCCGGGTTCATATTTCACAGGATTATCACAAAAACGTATTAGATAAATCATTCAGTCATTTTTGGGGTATCCAATGTGACCAAAATCAATTTAGATCAGATCAAGATTTTACAGCAACACTTTATATAACATCACATAATAAATTACATCAAAATAAGACATGCAGACAGACTGACAGACATTAAAATTGTGGTGCTTTGTAGGTATGTTAAAGTCTCCTGGGTCACATTTTTTCTGCTAGATAGTGAGGTATGTGTAATATGATCTTTTAAAAAGAAGTGGTACACCTTTCTCAGGTTGTTAATTTAAATATGTAAGAAAAGAGGAGGAGATACTATGAAAACAGAAACCATAAATACATGTATGGGATAACGCCACAAGCACATGTATCTCCATATGTTAAACAGAAGAAAATCCCCAAATCTTATTGATCCCTGTATCCAGACAATCATTCCAACACCAAGGAAGTTCTCTACAGAACATCCCTTTTGTGGACATCCCAAGAGGTAAGACTTTGTTCAGAGTTTTGACGGGTAAGTGATAAATTACCTTTGGTCTTTGTAGTTGTCGGAAAAACATTTTTGTGTACAACTTAAATAAAATTAATTTACTTTCCTCCATCACCATAGTGGCTCTGCTGCTTCTCTAACAAAAGGTCTTCAACATCTCAGTACCAGGTACTGAAGTTTTATTTGCTTAAAATAATTCTAGTAATTTAAATTACCTCCATTTATTCAGTTAACAATCACAGTTTTACTGTGCTAGTTTTTTCTCTGTAGCAGGTGATACACATCATGTTGCTAGGTGATTTATCTCATATAGTGATTTGTCTTGTTTCAATCGCCAAGATTTTTTTTTTTTTTTCAATTAAAAAATTTAAGTCAAGAAGATGAAGGAATAGAATGTGCAATAACATGTTTGACCACATTCTACAGTATAGAATGTTTGCAACAAGTTATGAGTGTTTTTTTTTGTCTGTCGACTGTCTGTCTTGTGCTTTATTTTTCTTGTTTTCTTTGCTGTATGCGTGCGTCACTGAATAAGTATCACCTTTTAACCAACAAGTTCAACATCAATCAGAAAAGGCATTGATCCTAAAAGTATGCTGTATGACAGCTTTGTTGAATGAACAGACAAAATGAAAGTGGTTATTCAATGAAAATCTTAAGGCTCACTTTGGCATCTCTTGCACAATCGTGCATATTGTAAAGATGGATAGGATCTGAAAGCCAAAGATGTCTGGTCATTCAGTGATTCAGACTGCAAGAAAATCCATACCAGAGTGACTCAGTTTTATTGAAAATAAACCAGACTGTCCACCAAAACCAACTGAAAACCAACATCCAAATCTCATACCTCAACCAGAAGGTCCTGCACCGGCTCCTCCAGTCACAGAACTTCAGTCAGTGAATCAACCGCCTCCAGTTCAGCCAGTCATGAATCAGTCTGATCCAAGTAATCCTGCACATGACCAGGTTCAGCCACATGGAGGTAAACATACAATAAATGTACATTTTCAGAAGATGGAAGGAAATTAAACTCAGCAACATGACAGTTAGGCTGTACTAAATCCACTTACATACACATATAAATCCAAATTGTGGCTCAAATTGATTTTTTAAATTCACTATACTAACTAGAAAGTTTTTCACCTTTCATTTAGGTCCTGATCCAGCTTCTCCACCTGCTGGGCTTCAGCCAGTGAATCAGTCACCTCCAGTTCAGCCAGTCATGTCTGCTCCAATTAATGCAGTGCCACAACTGATTCTGCCTTATAAAGGTAAGCGTAGAATAAATGTATATATCTGAGTGTTACATAACATTTAGATGTTCAAATGTTTAACTAAAAGGTTCTATTTTTCAAAATAGACAATAAATGTTAATATTTTCAAATACAATACACATCACATCAATACAAATAGTGCCACATAAAGAAGAAATGTTATGTTACTGTACTATCTAGATTCTTTAAACTTTCAAGGCTTTTACTTTCACTCTCCATTGTTTTTTCTTAAACTAGGCTATCCAGTCCAAAGCTACCCTCCTAATGCCATACCTCAGACAGCAGGACCTGGACCGGTTCCTCCAGCTACAGGGCTCCAGTCACAGAATCAACCACTTCCAGTGCAGACAGTCTTGAATCAGTCTGATCCAAGTACTCAAGCACCTCACCAGGTTCAGTCATATACAGGTACACATAGAATAAATGTATGTTTGAGAAGGTAGTAATATTTAAATATTCAAAGATTATACATTTTTTTAAATATTATTGGAATGTCATAATGAAATTAACTACACTGTAAAAAAAAATCCGTAAAATTTACGGTAAAAAAACGGCAGCTGTAGTTGCCGGAATTTTACCGTAAAAAATACAGTAGTAATGTTTTGGGTTTTAACTTAAATTTACATTTAAATACCGTAATTTCATTAACTGATATAATGTTAATATACCAACCTATTGAAGTACTAAAATCTGTTTTGCACCTTTGTAATACACTAATAACCACCAAATGCAGATGGTGATGAGAAAGTCATATGATGAACCAAAGCCCATCACAAGCAGCTTTTAGTTAATAACATATATAGAAGGTGCACAGTGTCATTCACACAGACACTAAACACCAACATGGTAACACATATGAAACTGAAATAATGCAATAAACATTCATTTAACAACATTAGGTGTAACACACAACCCTATTATACAAAACTCATAAGAAAAAACTAAGAAGAAACAGTTATTTCAACAAAAAAAAACATCAAATTTAAAATGTAATGCAGGGAATTCTGGGAATGTCAATTTACGGTTATTCACTGTAAATTATACATTTTTTTCCACTTCCAAAAATGGTATACTACCGTAAAATTAATGCCCAATACATGTAATGTCCAATACAGATTTTCACCATATGTAGTAGGGGAATTTACCGTTAACCATTTAACAGGTTTTTACTGTAGCATTTTTACAGTCTTTTACCGTTAAATTCACGGTAATTTAGATTATTAAAACTAAAATGTTCATGGTTTTCATACTTTCACTCAACCCAACTCAAACTTTATTTATAAAGCACTTTCAACAGCACGACTGGAACCAAAGAGCTGTACAGAGAAAGATAAGAGAAAAAATTATGTAAAAACAAATGAAAAATAATAATAGTAAAATAAAAGGGAAAAAATAAATAATAATAATAATTAATACCAACAAATAACATACACAGCTAAAAAGCATTGTCAAAAGCTAGAGAAAACAAATGAGTTTTAAGAGCACTCTGAAAAACACCCAAAGTTGGAGAAAATCTAATAGACAGAGGAAGGGCATTCCAGCCCCTAGGAGCTCCCAAAAGCATGAACAACCTTCTCCAATCTTCAAAAGATAGGATGGACTTCAACTTAGATATTGACCTTAGATGGGAAAAAATGCTATTTTTAACAACAGCATTAATTTGTCGGTCAAATTTGAGCTAAGAGTCAAAGATGACACCAAGGTTTTTTACACAGGACAGTTTCTTCCCAGGAAACTGCCCCAGGCAGTCATAGACATATAACCGCGGGAAGTAGGGGTGCTGAGGGTGCTGCAGCACCCCCTGGAGTGTAGCCCACGAAAATATGGGGGTGCTGGGGGTGCGGTGTTAAAAATAAATGAATGAACAATTTGTAATACAAAATAAACAATATAAATTGTATTAATTCATATATTCATTAAAATTCATTGAAAAAAGTAGCCTAAACCTACAATGACAAGAAGCAACGGTTAAATATGAGTCAAGTTAAATCAAATTGACTGTGAAAGTCTTTTCAACTGATTAAACGTATTAAACTGACTTAAAAAATCATTTGTTGCCATGATTTTTGGATTATATTATAACCTGTAACATGTCTCTGCCGTTCCCAAATTAAGAATGAACAACAATTTCTACAGACCGCAAAGAAAGAGCAAGAGCGTCTACCTCAGCAGCAACAAATCTGGCATTCTCACATCTGTAGCGCTTATTCTGATCTTTAACGTTAGGTCTTTCCTATTCTTGAAACAAAATTAATTCTTAAGGTTGATTCAATATTACTCTTAATGAAAAACACACACACACAACATCAACAATGCTACAATGACAAAGTCGCTTATATTAAACATAAAACTTTTATGAACAGATAAGAACAAATAAGATCAGTGGCGTAGCGTCTGGTTATGCAGGGTATGCAGGTGCATATGGTCCCGGGCAGTTTGGGGGCAACGAGGGAACGAATAGAGCCCTGCATGGGCCCGGACCTTGTCCAACAGCTTTAAGAGAATTCTCGGCCCGAGTCCGACTGGATCCTGTGTCTTTTCTCTCTCTCTCTCTCTTCCCCATTACACAGCTATTAAAATAGTTCAGTTTTGTTTTTTAATGGCAAAGTGGTCATATTTCTTTTTGTTTTCTTTATTAAGTTAATTTAGAAATATGTTTGGAACATTTTATGTTTATTAAATTCAAGTTTTGGTTTTTTAAAGGAACAACCAAGCGGCAGCGGCAGACAGTGAGTTGAGCATTATGTTTGATCAATTTAGCCTTCTCAAACCAACACACTTGTCTAAAATAAACAGACATAAAACACTTCTTGCATTTCACAGTATTAATTTAAACATTTAACCAAGATAATTGAGCGCTGTTAGGCGCACATCCAATCGTTTGAGCGGAGAGTGGAAGCTAAAGCGCGCTTTGCAGGACATGGAGGCGCCAGCACGATCACTTGCATTTTTTTAAAGAACAGCAGAAACTTAAAAATACGCCATCATTTTTGCTCATAAAGGTAATAGTATACATAATTCGGAACTGCAAAGGGGCTACTTGTATTTGTGTGCACTCACAATATCAACAAAACCTTGTGCTTTTGTAAAATAAGGAAAACAAACAGGATGCGCTTTCTGTCCTCTTGGTCTTGAGCAGGAGCGCTTC